CCACGGTAAACATTCCGTACATTTTTATACTGAATTGACGGTTTATAGTCTGTATATCTGACTTGTGTTGAAATTCTTGCGTCACAAAATACGCACTAACTAAATTTCATTGCGTCATGGCTGAAAATAGTGCGCCAAAAACGCAAAAACGCGCTCTGGCAGAAACACTGCAATATGCTGGATATGTTGAACTACCAACACAATTTATAAGAATTTTCAAGACAAGTTTTTAAAACGATAAAAATATTCCTAGATGCATTGAACAGGTCTAGGATTTCATGATATTTACGGACAGTCTGTTAATTTTTGGACAATCCATAATTTTACAGGTTTTTATATTCATAAATTTACAGACATCAAGTAGGAAAATAGTAAAAGTTGTATCAAAACTGCAGGTTAAAATGAATGAGGTTACATATTATATGATTAAATGTAACAGTATGGTAAAGATTCAGAACAAATTGATGACTTTCAATTTTCACTTTTAACACAATATTTCAATATCATCATACAAAGATGAAACGCACACCAAAGCATTTGTAAATACAAACAATCAATAAAACAACTTATCTTAAGCTGCGGATTTTAATGTAATACTAAAAACAGCAAATTTTACATTGAGTATCTATAAATTTATGGACAATCCATAAATATCATAAAATCCTAGACCTGTTCAAAAGAATTAATTTGTGATTTTGTTTTTAAAATGCTAGTTTTCTCTTCTATTGAGTCTAACTTATTTAATTTGGTGCAGTGAGTGACAGACCTATGCCAAGGCAAATTATACAATGTCGATACTAATTTCTGTACATATTAAAATACATAGGATTACGTGTAATCGCATATATGCTACTAACGTTTCTCTTACAAAAATTAAGATTAAATGACTGCAGTTAGTATGAAATTTAATTCGGATCATAAATCAAAACATAATTCAGACGGCAGCTTTCGTTTCATTGAAAGGCTCGTTGAGGATGCATCACTGGCGGCCAGAGAAGTCAATGCTCACGAAGACAGTGCACGTCCGATAGTAATAAATATATAACCATCATTGTTGAGGATAGGAATTAGTAAAATAAAGTCATTGGTTTGTGTTTCAGGCGGATTTCGAACAAGGTATTAATTGTATGTACCTTCTGTATTGGCGATAACCGGAAAAGGAAGTTCACTTGCAATGAGACTGGAACTCAATATTCCTTTGGATAAAAACATTACCGTATTTTACCGGACAAAATCTAAAACTTCGGCATATGATAATTAAAAGCAGACGTGATAAGTTTGTTTGTTTGTTTGTTTGGGGTTTACGTCACACCGACACAGTATAGGTCATTCGGCGACGTTCCAGCTTTACTGGTGAAAGAAGACCTCAGATGCCCTTCCGTGCATTATTTCAGGCACGAACGGGCACCTGAGTAGAACCACCGACGTTCCGTAAGCTAGCTGGATAGCTTCCTCACATGAAGGAAACCAAAGTCCCTGTCGGGATTCGAACCCACAGCGGTGAGGGGCAAGTGGTTTGAAGTCAACGACCTTAACCACTCGGCCACGGACGCCCCTCAGACGTGACAGAAACTGAATATGAAATATTACAAATTAAACCAATAGAAGGGGACTCAGATATATTTTTTAAATAAAAGGCCAGAAAAACACTACTATCTAGAAAGATATATTTAGTCATCGAGTTGGTGGTTCTTAGTAATAACGCTCTAGATACATTGTAAGTGCCGAGGTCATGAAACTACAATATTAAACCTTTGGGGGGGGGGGGGTAGTGTCTTCCAATATTGAACTCATTCAAGTCCAAATCAAATAAACATAAATGGACTGGTCTAAATAAGTTTAATTCTAATTGCTACCAACCAGAGTGAATATCTAATATGTCACGTTGTGAAGGGTAGTCAGACTATTCTCTCCCTTACCAGTTCCTCCCCTGACGTTTCCTCCCTGACTGTTCTCTCCCTATTTTGGGGGAGAACCGTCTGCATATTTGCAAATAAGCAGACAGTTCCTCCACATTCTTATTTTTATTATTACATTATTATTAAAGTATTTACTTTTTTCCCTTTTTCTCTCCCTATTTTTATCTTTACATGAGATGCAAATTAATTGGAATATAAAGGCAGTTTTGTTATAGTTTCGAATAATTTATATATACCGGAAATAATAATTTTTATTCTGTGTAGTGTGTAATATATATTAGTAGTACTTTTGCAGTGCATAAGTTTTTCGTGCCAACTTAACTATAGTTGAAACAATTTATGTACATGTATGCATTCCGTGTCAGGTTGCACCAACTTGCTAGATATAGCAACATTTAAAAACAAAAGTGAAATGAGAAGTTAATAGAAAATAACACAGCGCTAATAATCTTTACAAGAAAAAAAGAAATTCTTAATCGATTGATAATTATACAAAAAAATTTGGGACCGAACCTAGCTGTCTTGCATTGATATGTAACTAAAAATTTACCACACAACTTTACCTACCGCGTTACGCCGACAGATGGTAAATTTGTCGATATTTTAATTTATATGGCAAGCCTGCTTGACTTAAGATATTAAACACAATATGATAACTGTTTTACACCGTTAAAGTGGACTTGACCACCGCGTCACTAAATAATTATCCTAAACGCACAGTAGATGATAAATAAATGGGTATGTTTATTATAAATTGATATAAATTAGAGAAAAAAATATTTTATTGAAGTGTTTAGATGTTAGATAAGTTGGTAACTTTATTATCAATTCATATAAATTAGATAGAAAAATACTTTAATGAAGTATTAAGATGTTTAATTCATGTTTCAATTTTGTTAGCATTATCAGCAACAATAAATGGGTAAGTTTATTGTAAATTGATATAAATCAGAGAAAAAAATATATTATTGAAGTATTTAGATGTTAAATAAATTGGTAACTTCATTATCAATTGATATAAATTAAATTAGATTTTTTTTTAGCATACAAGTTAATTATTCTGATTTTTTTCATTTGTCATTATTTTGTCTTTGCACTCTTACTGAAGATTTTCATGGCGCGAGCCAGACTTCGTATTCATTCATAATAAATATTTTCTGAGAGCGTATTTGTGTATTTTTATAGCAACCCCCAAGCCCAGAACCTCTTAGCAGCACCTTCCCATATCGTTAGAGTGGACTGCGACATTAGGATAATCATAAGATATTATTATTATTTTATTTAATAAATAAATGTGAAATTTATAAGCAAAAAATGATTAATGAATTTTAATTGCTAAATTTCATACTTTTGTATAATGAAAAAAGGAGTTCAATACACACATGTGTTAAGTTTGCTGTTAGTGATAATTGAGGTGTTTATTTAATTTATTAATTTATTACTCAAGAATCAAGGTGCTGATTAGATTAAAAGTAATAAAACAGCTGTGAAAAAGTGTTGATGAATAAGTATTTACAAGCTAGACCTTAACATAATTACAGGTGTCTAATCACTGTCCAATAACCTGTATCTCGCACAATGAAGGTGTTGATAGGATTAAAATACAAAAAAAAGGTGTTAAACACTTTTCAGCTGATAAAACATAAAATGCAGTTAATATCACACACATTCTTTTAATAATCTTCATTAAGAAATATTATTAGATTAAGTCAAAACTTAAATGATAACTTACAGAAAAAATGGGGGAGAACTGTCTGCATATTTCAAATTTTGGAGAGAACCGTCAGGGGAGGAAACGGTTAGGGAGAGAACCGCCAGGGAGAGGAACTGGTAAGGGAGAGAATAGTCTGTCATTCGTTGTGAAGGGTGCCAGTGTTTAAACTAGTTTTTAATATAAAAATATAATACTGCCAATATAGCATTGTAAAAATGAATTTAAATGTAAAAATAAATATATTAGGAAACATGCTAATTACCTATTCGCAAAACAAATGATTCCTTCTGTGAGTTAATGTACTACAAAAAAGGAAAAACGATCACTATTTTAAAAAATATGGTATAATAAAGAAGCCCAGCTAAGTATCACACCATTGACAGATGTTCCAGCCTGAACAACTACATGTACTACATTGAACGATAGCTTTGGGCGATATTTTGATGATTCAAATTAAGATGCAATTAAGGGAACATTTGCACGTGGATGATGAAGGATCTGTTACATTACATTTATCAAAGTTAAGACTATTTGTATATATACGTCTTGACGCTGCTTACTTAGTTTTCCAGTTATTACGAAAAGTATAATCAACACTGGAATATGACAGTTAGTTTTTTTCATATTAAAATAATTTAAATGTTTTTCATGTAATAGTATTGGAAAATGATGAATCATTGCTAATGCGTGAGCAATGGGAGCAGCGAGATTTCGGAAGAAAAAATGATATTCATTGTGACTAGATACTGAAAGGTCGTATCTGAAAAGTTCATAAAACATTTCAAAATATTTCAATATTTATTGATTAATGATACCCTCTGATGACGAGTAAAAGGCGAGAGAGAAATGTATGGTGAAGGGCTTTACTTTGTTATATTTATGTAACTTATTCAAATAACTGTCGATTACAAATTATAGAAATTTTCTTTCCAACTAAGTAATCACGTAATATAGGGAGTGAAAAGCATCATCTTGTTAGAAATATTTTTTCATTGATAAATTAATAATTTCATGATATTTTATATGACTTTTATAGCTCTAAAAGGACTTGGCTAATAAGTCGAAATTTCAGGTTAGTAAGTCGAAATTTCGTGCCACGGAAGTCGAAATTTCAAGCTAGTAAGTCGAAATTTCGAGTTAATAAGTCGAATTTTCGAGTTTATAAATATGTCCAAATTTTGAGTTAGTTAGTCGAAATTTCAAGTTAGTAACTTGAAATTAATAAGTCGAAATTTCGAGTTAGTAACTCGAAATTTTAAGTTGTTATTATTTTTTTTTGTTCCTGTCTATCATTAATAAATTGAACAATTTTGGAGCTATAATACTTTTATTACTGTTTGTACGGCATGGGACGGCATTTATCTTAAACAATAATACTGTAATCCAGTCTGACATGTTTACTTTCCGGCGAATTTTCACGAAAATAAATCATTTAAACACTTTAATCATTTTAGGATTCGAAATGCCTTTTTATGCAGTAAGAATAGGTAGATGTCCAGGAGTTTATAGAACATGGTAAATTTTAATTATCTTTCATATCGATATTTTTTTTTTTTTCGGTGCAAGTCAAACCGGCCCAAGACGTTTCACTCCCAAGAACGTTCACACCGAGACAGTTCACACCAAGACGTTTCACTCCCTATTTTTATGCCAGTTAAAATTGATACTTTGATTTAATAAAATCTTTTAATATATATTTTATTTTAATGGTATTTTTGAATGATATCAAATGACTATAAAAACAATTAAAATTATTGACTTAAACAGGCTGGTGAAAAAGCCCGATTGGGCTTATGTCATAAAAAAATCATATTTCTAGAAAAGAAATAAAGACAGAGCAACAGATAAGGTGCGTATTTGCGTATTTACGCAATTAATTTCATAAAATACGCAATTGATTTTTTAAGAATGCGTATCAAAACCCATTAAAAAAAATAAAATACGCAATTGTCTTAAAAACCTGTGCGTATTGTCATTTTCATCACCGTAAAATTAATCTGTCGTATGCACGTAGTTTTGGACAAATAATAGCGATATGCATGATATCCGAATATTCCCGAATCAATGCTAACTAATCAACGGTCTCCGGTCTTCGACAGTTCCCGGTCTCCAAAGACCGACTAAGTCAAATCAATAAAGCATGACACCGTCGTTTGTCTTCTCAGGTCGACGGTCTTTACAGACCGGCAGAGACCGTTGATTTTTCGAAGACCGTCAATAAGTAGGTCCCACCTGTATCAATAGACGCTTTGAAAGCAATTTTGCATCGTACAAAAGGGAAAATGATTTGAAACAAAACAATCGTAAACAAGCTTTTAAACTTTACCTGCATTTTCGTGAAAATAATATCGCAATGCACATGCTTTTTACATAAAGTTATTAAATACAAATATAATAACACATTTGTTTACTTGATTTTTACGAATCAAAATAAAACTAATTAACACAACATGAAATTAACTGCTAATAATAACAGCTCCTTCCATAGGCAAAAATAAAAAGCATTCCATAAAAGACGACGCCGCTCACCGGCGTCTCCAATAATCAAAAATCAGTCAGAAAATGAACTTGTTAAAAATATTTTTATGAAATATAACTTGAGCATTTTATATAAAAAATAAAATAATTAAAAGTTCTAGTAAATTGTTAATCCTATTTTCTTTTTAAAACAGTAAAATTTCATTGATATTGAAACCGTAAAATTTTCATAATTAAATACCCAATTGATCTTGAAATCATAGGGTATCGAGTTTTGGAATACCCAATTAAATGGAGCAAATACCCAATTCCAAAGGAAATGATGGAGTAATACCCAATTCACTTTTAAAGCTTATCTGTTGCTCTGAAAGATATTTCTTTTAAACTTTGTTTGTTTATTGAGAATAATATTTGACATAAACAGAAAGAAAAATATTTGGCTACTGTCACTTTTGTGAGATTTATTTCCCTTTTTTCATGTTTTTGTAACACATAATTTTTTAAGTCACTATTTTCATTTGTTTGGGTCGTCAGACCAACCAAATAATGGTAGCGAAATATCAAACCCTGATGTGCTTATTTGCAAATACCGAGAGTAGTCCAAACTCCTCAAAGCAGTTACTTCCCTTTATAAGTACACTAACGCCAAAAATTAAGGGGAAATCACTGCGTAAAGATTTTCAAATGACAGGCGCATTAATTCTCTGGGAAGAAAAAATAGTTCCCGATTGGTCGAAGATTTCTATCTTTAAAGATAAACATGCTTATATTAAGCTCCATGATTATTTAATTTAGTGTTAAACAGCAGGTTTACCCTGAAATTAATAAGGGTTACAAACCCTAATTTAGAATAATCTGGTTTTCTTCAGGCTGTTATCTTAAAACTTCACCGTGGTCGAGGGGTTACACGCTCGGTTAGTAAGCGAGAGGTCTGGAGTTCAAATCCCAGTTAAGGCAACTTTTTTTCTTTTTTTTTTTTTAAATTGTTTAAGCCAAATAAACATTGAATTGAATATCAGTGTTGCAATTAGCCTTATAGCCAATTTACTACAGTTATAACACTGGAAACAGCATTGGTGGCACTATACAAAAACAAATTGGTTAATAATCTCTCAACCTTCACCTTTCTGACATTCTGAGACCCAAACAAATTCAGCACCTTCTGTGCTTTGATTAAGTATGTTACATATGCCAAGTGTAAAAGAAAATAGGTTAAATTTATAACTTCTTTATACTCTAATTCATTGCGCCAACATCTATCAAATTCAATATACATTTCATTCAGTTTTCAGAGAAATCTTCAAAGTATAATGTTCTGACAGTGTCAAAGAATTGTCAAAATATAGATGCCAGAAACAGAAATATTAAATCCAAATATATAGAATAAAGGTATTGGCGCAATAATCTAGAGCAAAATGAAGTTGTTGGACACATTTCTATTTAGAATTTTAAATTGCAATATAATTTTTATGAACTTCAAATATTTTCTTTTTAGAAAATGGGAAAAAGGGAAATAATTCTAAGGAAATAAAAGATAAGCAAAATATTTTGATTATGATTTGTATCATACATCAATGCTTAATAAACAAAAGAAATGAGAAAGAAACATATAAATTATTTTACATATAAACATTCTAATCTCATAATTTTAACATCTACAATATTTTTACAAATAACTATCCAACTAAACAGACAACTACTTGCTATTTAATGGTTTAAAGTTATGTGCCAGATGAAAATATACCATTAAAGTGCGAGGAGTAGCAAACTGACATTATGAATAGAACCACTGACCTTCCAGTCTAGCTAGCTAAAGACAATCAACTGTTATTCTCAACTGAATAAAATAATCTTTTTAAACTCAGTTCTTTTCTGGAAAAACCCCATTGAAATCTAGTAAAATATATAGTTAAATACTCAATAATACCTGAAAATGTTCACCAATTTACACAAATAATAAAATTGTGTACAAAAAAGTTACTATGATTATGTCTAAGCCCAATTGGGCATTTTCACCAGCCTGTTAAAGAGGTCATTTTAGTTACTTTTAACACAGGAACCCAAAATAATTCTATCCAAAACAAAAAAATAACGATTTGAAAATAAATCCCATATACAGTCAAACCTGTATAAGAGAGACAGTATTGGGAATTTGTAAAAGTGTCTCTTATCCAGGGCTGAACTCTGGCTAGGAAAAGTGACTATTTTTAACTATTTTTTAGATATGACGTAAAACACCATGATTTGCAATGATTTCAGTTTTTATTTTTAGATAAAACATTTAAAACACAGAATAGGAAAAGATATCAATTACGTTTTATTCATACAAAAGGAAATTAAAAACAAGTTGTTCTCAATACAAACAAAGAAATTTGCCGAGTAACGTTTTGATTTGCGACAATAAATAGCTACCACTATACGATTAATGTGAGGATGATTATGCAAACAAAGAAAGGTCATGCCCCCGCGGCGTGTATTAGATTGATACCGTGTACATATTACGCATGTATGTTGACACGTCTTCAAAACAATCGGATTAGCGATTATTAGACATTGAAAGGTAGAGATTCAACTTAATAAATTGGACAGCTTAAATTTTGCTTTGCAGTTAGATTTTCGTTAATGTGGTTAATTTAAAAGAAATTTCTTCGCACAATTATAATTTCACTTTACTTTCGAAAATACATGTATATCAAAAACATTTTACTCAAACGAAACACATTTTAAACAAGTTATTTTTCAAACTTACAAACAAATTTACTGACTACTGGTAAAAATTAATGTAAAACGGTACGAAAACGGTATGGTACAGAAAAAATATTGGATCCAAAATGGCGACAAACGTTCTTGTACTGGCCGTTTGATCTGGTAATTTTGGCTATTTGGGGATGAAAATGGGTGGCCGTTGGCGGCGTTGAGCAGGTGGCCCTCTTATAAGAGACAAATATATTATTAGTTATAAAGATTGTTGACCGGTTATATGGCCCTATATAAACGGCTGTTTGTAAATATAACCCGAGCCGCTAGGCGAGGGTTATATTGCAAACAACCGTTTATATACGGCCATATAACCTGTCAACAATCTTTATAACGAATTTATTATACAGCAAACATCATTTTTAGAGGAACAAAGCGAGATTTCTTTGTAAATCGACAGCAACCGTGTATATAAAACTATATAAACGTCACAATTATCCAATGAAAAGCGACGTTACAAACGTGCAGTATTATAAAGTAATTTACATTGGGGATGTCCAGAGATGGCGCACTTAGGCAGGTGGCGCTTTTATAAAGGTGACTGTCTGAATGGAACTGACGATGGGAGAAGAGCGGTGATAAATTCATATAAATTTTTTATAGTATATATATGGAATTTTTTTTAAAATCATTATTCTTTTTGTTTTGGATAGAATTTCGGGTTCCTGTGCTTTGAATTATAAATTATTGGTTGATTAGGCATATCTTTGATATCATTTATTATACATCTGTTTGAAAAATGGGTCGTATTATAGTTCCCCCTGGGGGGGGGAGCTGATGGATGGGTGGGCGTCCTATATTTTGACAGAGCATATCTCCTTCACACATGAAGGAATCTTCATGGAAATGTTCACCACCATGAGATGCTGTGTTGCACACTTAAACTAGGTCTCTAGGTCAAAGGTCAAGGTCACACTTAGATGTCATTGAAAAACGCTTGTCCAGAGAAAAACTTCTACATGCATAGAGGGATTTCAATATAGCTTGGCACAAATGTTCACCATTGTGAGATGGAGTGTCACTTTGGCCAAGGTCAAGGTCACACATAGGGGTCAAAATTCAGATAAAAATGTGTATTCGGACCATTTAGTCATCAGTTATTGGGGGAGTATCATGACAATTTGTGTGAAACATGTGATTTGGGTTAATAAATGCAAAGTCAAAGTCACTAAAGATGATAGTCAAGGTCATTAAAGATGATAAAATAAAGAGATTTTGTTCAGAGCATATCTCCTACATGCGTGGAGGAATTTTAATGAAACTTCACAGAAATGTTCACCACTATGAGAAGCTGTGTTGCTTACATGAACCAGGTCTCTCGGTCAAAGGTCAAGGTCACACTTTGAGGTCATCGAAAATGCTTGTTGCAAAACTTCAACATGCATAGGGGGATTTCAATATAATTTGGTACTAATGTTCACCATTGTGAAGCAGTGTCGCATGCAAAATTAAGGTCCTTGCAGCCAAGGTCAAGGTCACACATAGGGGTCTAAGTTCAGATAAAAATATGAAAATGTGTATTCGGACCATTAAGTCATCATTTATTGAGGGATTGAAACACAAATGGTCATTATCATGACTACAGGTGTGAAACATATAATTTAGGTTAATATATGCAAGGTCAAGGTCATTAAAGATGATAAAATGTAGAGATTTTCTCCAGAGTATATCTTCTACATGTATGGCGGGATTCTAATGAAATTCATAGAAATGTTCACTACTATAAGAAGCAGTGTCATGTGCATGAACCACTTCAACCAGGTCTCTAGGTTAAAGGTTTAGGTCACACTTAGAGGTTATTGAAAAATGCTTGTTTGGAGCAAAACTTCTACATTCATCTGGGGATTTTAATGGAACTTAGCACAAATGTTCACTGTTTTGAGGCTAAATATTGCGTGCATAATTCAGGTCCCTGTTACCAAAGTCAAGGTCACATAGAGATGTCAAAATTAAGATAAAACAGAAGATGTGTACAGGGACCATTTAGTCATTATTAATTGATGTACATTGTATTGTAACACAAATGATAAGTATCATGACTACAAGTGTGACACATGTTATTTAGGTTAATATTTGCAAGGTCAAGGTCACTAGAGATGATAAAATATCCAGATATTGCCCAGAGCATATCCCTTATATACATATCTATAATGCCCACATCTCTGTCAAAAGCTTTTGTGATGGACGTATTTTGTGACAATGTTACCCTTGTTCAAATTTGATATCAAATGAGGTTTTGACAAGATGAAGATACAGAATAGTTAGATTTTTACTTTTATATATTGTAGGGATGAATGTAAAGTGCAGGTAGATAAATTTACAAAGCCAAGGTTTAAAAAATTTAACACAGAAGAAGAGGCTCGAGCTTTTGTGAAAGGATCGGATCATCCTACCAACTTTCCAGGTATACCATTTCTATATTTTAGCTCACCCACCTCACCTCACCCCACTTTGTACTTTGAGATGAGCTTTTATGATGGCACTCATAAATCAGGGCCTTACATCTAAGGTCAAGGTCACACTTATATTCCAAAGTCATGAATTTTTTCATAGAAGTGCTTTGGTCAACAATTCTGTCATTCCGGGATGGATTTCAAAATAATTTGCCATTAATATGTAGACATGATGATGAAGTGTCAGAGAGAGATCAATGTCAAACTTGTATGTTAAAAGTGATGATTGTGAATAGATTGTATTCTTCTGTGCATGGATGGACTGCATAAATATGCTGCTTATTACATGTTTATACTCATGGCAAAAGTATGAAAAATGAAATCACCAAAAATCTGATTTACTTTATTGTTATATTACAGAATAGTGAGAATAATGTGGCCATTTTAGTTAGAATGTACTGTTAGTTAACTTGTATGCAAAACAACAACAACAAAAAAAACATAATAAATAATAGTCTTTGGTTTTGTTGAATATATGTTTATATTTTCAGGCTCTTTTAAATCGTCACCTGCAAAAAGCTTCAGTAGTGGTTTTCCAAAAAGTCCAAAGGCTTCAAGCAGCAAAGATTTATCAACAGATGTTAAGCTTAAGATTGCCGAGAAAGAAATACAGTATTTGAAAGAGAAATTGAAACAGAAAGTGTGTGAAAAGAAATTGTTGGAAACTAAAGCAGAAATAGACCAGCTAAAAGGTCAAGGTCAGTACTTTATAGTGATATTTTAATATTCAGTGATTTTTTAGGACAATTCCTCATGTAAAATTTTTACTTTTCCCAATTTAAAGAACAATTTTCCCACTCAAAGTTTTATAAATTAACAAAAATCTTTAAAATGTTATGGTGTGATTTAAACTGAGGAAAGCTGATTTTGATTTTTTCTCCAAATTGCTGATAGCAACACATTTTTCCACAGCTGAATGGTCCTAACACCTTTCCTTATATGTTGAAAAAATCAGTTTGTTAGGTGTCAAATGATAAGGGTATTTTTACCTATAGCAACTTATTTCTTTGTAGCATTTGATTTCACACGGCAGTATGGTATAATAATAGAAATCCAATCACCAGAAGGAATCACAGATTCTTAAACATGTTTTAAAGACAGAGCTTTGGTTTAAATCATCTCAAATTGTATTTTGATAAGTAAATATACATGATGTTAAGTAGCAGAAAATTTAATACTCAAACCCTGAATTGTATAACAAATTGACCATTGAACTCTCTCTTAATGGTCTATGAGATAATATTTTATATTTTGTTTACAGGGTCTTACCAAGGGAAGGTTACACATTCAAGAAAAACATTTCATAACTCAAAGCCATATCAACCTTCGACACCAACTAATAGCTCCAACTGGAAACAGAACAGAACAACACAACTTATAGATATAAATGAAGCCAGACAATTACATACAGATGCTTGCTCTGATGGTGATTTTATTACAACATGTATATTTTAAGTTTAAAATTTGGATGTCTTATTTACTATGAAATGTTAAGGTTATGGACTTTGATTCTTTTGTGAAACAAGATTTATACTTGTAAGTTTACTGATGTAGATTATTTTGTGAAACAAAATTATTCTTACCTTCAAGTTTATGGTTGCAATACTAAGTATTGATGTTGGGTGCACTTGCCCTCTGCTGCAGTAGTGATTTGTAACTGACAATACATAATGTGTCCCTTACTGCTGTCTCTACTACTGATTTTTATGGAGATACAGAGAATGTGACAATTACCTGTAAATCAAAGTGGACAGTACTTCTATAGTGCCATGCATAAAGTTTATGTAAATATCATGATTAACCAATGAAATGTGACATTACAAATATTACTACATGTATATATTTCAGGCATGGCATTAGATGATAGAACACCTGTAGTATACACAGATGGTGCTTGTACAAACAATGGTCGAGGTGCAGCTAAAGCTGGTATAGGTGTATACTGGGGTCCTAACCATCCATTGTGAGTCATAATCTGTATCTTGATTTCTAGCTGATAACTGTTGTTTATACTAACTGTTGGCTGCTCAGTTTTAGTGTTTGTCCCATTCCTGTTTGTTGCCACAGAGAGTGCCTATTTAGTGGTCATATGTGGCTAAATATTGTGGGGACTGTATTCTGTGAATGTTTCTCTTCCTTGTTTATGTTTGTTCTCATATTTGGTATTAAATCCCTTAAACCAACAATCACTGACCATTCAAGACTAGAACAAGAATCTGTTATTTATTTTAAAGGAATCTTTTTCTTTGCTTATTCCTACATTATCCAGGCTATTGCTTTACTGTTAAGCTCTTGGAATAGTCAAGCATGTTATATTTTAGTGACAGTTATTGTTTCATCAAGCTAGCACCCCATATATGATATGGAAGGTTGATAATATAATCATGTACCTTCTTGAGCCTGATAAATGTACGCATATGCACCTTAAACACTTAGTCTAGTAAACTTAATGTAATGTTCAGCTTTTATTGACAGACTGTAATGAGGAAATATTAATTTATTACTGGTATGATTTCAGAAACATTAGTGAAAGGTTACCTGGTAGGCAAACAAACAACAGAGCAGAAATTCATGTAAGTATTTCTTGAAATTAATTGAAACTATTTCTAACAAAAAACATGAGATTGAATATTTTTGTTCTTAATATACCCAACATTCCTACTAAGCCTTATATGTCAGGGCTAATAAATATGTTAAAAAATGAATAAGACTAACATAAAATTTACTTAATTCATTGAAAATCAAATGTGTCAGTACAGCTTGTCAAACTTTTGAAATATTGTACTATTCAACAATTTTCTATGACAACTGTATCATGTATAAAACATTGTATTGATATATATAGGCTGTAGTGAAGGCAGTGCAACAAGCCAGACTGCAAGGATTTCCAAGACTTACTGTGAAAACTGATAGCATGTTTCTCATTAACTGTAAGTAATTAATTTAGTTCGATATGTAAAGTAAGTCCATTGGTACATACATGTACTTATAAAACATACATACATGTAACATTTTTATTGGCAATAATCAAGTTTTATGAAGATTCTTTTCTTGTAACAAACACATTTACATGTTATCTGCATTATGGTTAATTCTTGATCCGATTCTAAAGACAACTTTCCTGCTTGAATGGTATTTTAAGCTCACCAGAGCACAACATGCTTGAAGTGGGATCACTTACTGTCCATGGTCAGTGTGTCTGTCTGAGTGCACTCACTTGTCCTGTGAGTGTTTATGTAAACGTTCAGTATGATTATGCACTTCATAACTGCTAAAAATATTGCTTGTGAATTGCAGTCTTTTTTGGGGTAATTATGGGGTACAAAAAGTTTGCTTGTAGGATTTCAAAGATTGAAGAAAAGCAAAGAAATAGTGGGAGTGGTCCTTTTAAAATAAAATTAATAAGTTAAAGGAGATGATCATTAAGGGATGGGGTCTTATTTTTGTGTCTATGCAGAAATAAATGAAGATTAGTATGGTTAAATCTGTTGACCAGATTTTTATTTAATTCAACAGAAGTGACTAAAAGGTGACACACAGACTACCAAGGTTATCGGATGGGATTGTGTTTCCAAATATATATAGGGAAAAGTTTGCTTATCTCCCCATATGTTTTAGTAAGCAATATGGCCTTTTAATATTGTTTAATGTAGTAAATATTATAAAATAAATTACTTAATTGTTCTTGTAATTAAATTGCAGCTATGACCAAGTGGTTACCTGGTTGGAAGAGAAAGGGTTGGATGACTTCAGAAGGCAAACCTGTCATAAATCGTGAAGATTTTGAAAGTCTTATCGAAGAAATGGATGGGGTTGAAATAAACTGGGTCTGTAGTTTGACATTTTGTACTGAAATAGATATTACAAAATATATACATCAGAACTCTTACTAGGATATTTATATATCTCAACATTGTTAAGTACAGGTAAAATATAAGGTTGCATCCCAATAGGGACATTGCATTATTTCATGCGAGGAAACTATCCAGCTAGCGGACAGAACGTCGCTAGTTCCACTTAGGTGCATGTTAGTGCCTGAAATAATGCATAGGAGGGCACCTGAGGTCTTCTGCCATTAATCAAGCTGGAAAGTCGCCATATGACCTATACTACAATGTTGATGCGACGTAAACCCGACCAAAATAAAAACAACAAACAAAATCTTACATGCCATAGCAGTAGACATGTTTTCTCTCTATTTAGTTAGGGAAAAAACAACACTGTCAGCAATATTTGTACAACTTATAAATAAATGTAAATGGAACATTCTAAATTTATAAATTTTTCTCTATATTAATGAATTTACACTGTTAAACTGTTATGATGAATTTTATAATGATTTGGATGTCCATTTTAAAATATGATGTCAAAATGTTTAGTTAACTGTTCATTAACTTGCCCTGCTATATACATGATTGTATCTTAAATGAACTGGTTCATCCTATTTTCTGGACAAAACCATTAATCATGTTTTGAAAAAGCTTAAAAATATTTACTGAAAAGTGAACCATGTAGACCATGATCAGATGGCACAGATGTGCTGGCAGATCTTTGTATGCACCGTTCCCATGGGTAGAATCAGCTGCAGCTTGCAGGCTAAGGGTTAAAGAATACTGCATAAATAAAGATCAAGGAAGTTATCAAGCTAGCATACCATAGGCTGATGTTTCCACCAGATGTCTGCTAGCAAAGCTAAAAATTGAACATATGAGAGAGACTTGAAATACAACCAAAAACAAAAAAAAAAAAAAAAAAAAAAAAAAAACTAATACAGGTTAACTCTTAGAGTTCCAAAAATTCAAACAGCTATTCATTACTTTCAAGTCTTTCTTCAGTATATGTCTTTGACATTTATCCAGTTTCTTGGTCTTGGTTATTCTGATATGAAATATCTTAACACTGCGTTTTCTGTGTAACAATGTTTCTTGTGGGTGTTGAAATGTCCTTCATTTTGTTGTGAAAAATTGGCTTTTTAAATTGATTTGTAACATTTATTTGTTATGCAGGTTCATGTACGAGGTCACCAAGGACATGAAGGCAATGAACAAGCAGACAAGCTAGCAGTCAAAGGTGCAAGCATGCCAGATAGAAATAGATGAAACCTCTCCAACTAGTTTAGTTATATGATTACAGTGAAACTAGGTGTCACAGTTGTGATATTTAACAAAGTCAATATTACCTAAGACTACTAGGTTTTTTGGTATAAATTGCTACACCATTGACAATTCACACTTGAAGAACCTATATGAAGGGTTATGTGAATTAATTTAATTTCATGGGCAGAGAATTTCATGGTATTGTCAAAAAGGACATTTTCGAGGGTTCTAAAAGTGGAGGATTGTTTGTTTTTGCCAAAAACTGTTATAAAAAATAAGCATTCAGCAGAAGATATAAAATGTGTGGATTGAGCAATCCATGGATACCATAAAAATAAGTGCCCAGTTAGTAATAGTGATTTTGCAGTAATTGTACTTGTGACTATTACATGAGCACCATACAAATTTTAAAGTCTCATCCAAAAGACTTGTTAGTAGTTTTAGTTTTGAGGTGTGGGATATTGAACTCACAACCTCTGTATTTGTAATCTGTGTGACCATCAGACCACTGTGCCCATTCTTAGTACTTGCTGCTATGAATTTTGTTCATTTGACAGATAACAGTTCTTTAAGACATGTTAAATACTGTGATATGAAATGTTATGTTTCAGTTAGTACCCACAGTGTTCTTAATTAATGTTGTTGATCATGTTGCCATATTTAGACAAGCAAGATTTTTTGTTTTAGAGTTGTTTGTATAGTTTTGAGTTTGTGACATGATAAGAAATTTTGTTTGGACATTTATTTATTTCATTGCATGTATATTTCATTGGGTTTTTTTTATTTTTGCTAATTAATCTTGTATTTTTCCTATGTATAAATGTACAACCTTTAGTTTTTCATATTAAAGCAGTATGCCTCCAGAGGAGCCAAAACATTTTTATAAAATCAAACTTGATTTTAGGAAAGTTAAAAGATTGAAGATTTAAGTAATAATTTACATGTTGTTTGCATTTATTTAACTGATTTTTCAGTATTTATAACCATATTTCTACTGTGTTAATGCATTAAAGGCTATTTTTCAATATTTTGACCTCATTTTGTGTAATTTACTTGGGTTGTGAGTGCTGTTTGTAATGTGTAAATTGCTTGCTTATGGTTATGTCACAATATTTTACTTGTAGATACATTTTCAAAATTTTCATGAAAATAAGCACGAATCTGGAAGAGTGCTGCTTTAAATGTGTTTAAAATTTAACACCGAGAAATAATGCAGATTATTGTGTTCATGTATTACATAGCATATTTATATAGAAGTGAGATTAAGGGATGAAGGTGAAGGTTATTCAGTATTACAAGGGAGTGGTTTGTAAACATATGGAGAAATGTATATATCAATAGAAAATAATATAGAAATGTACACAAGCGGAACTAAATGACATATTCCTGTAACTTTTTTGACTGTCATATGTTAGATACATGTATAATGCTCTTCCCAGTGCCAAATAATTACCTGGCATTTTGCATATCCTTTCCTGAGCTTTCTGCTTGAAATTTAATATTTTGTAGGAAATTGAAATTGTTAGATGAATAATTACATAGACAGAAATGAATTTATTTTAGCCAAAAAACTTATTATTTGAATAGTTGAATGATAAAATAAACAATATACGTTGCATTATTATCACTGTGGCAGTCTGAACTGCAATCACCTGCATGGGGTGAAAACTAAGGCAGTGAAAGATTGTGAACCAATTTTGGTTATAAACTCTTCAGTTATAAAATGTTGTTACATTTGAGTGAATAATAAACGGTTAATTAACATACAACATAGCATTGATAATACTGTAATACTTTTCATGCAGTTTAGTACATACAATATAGATGTGTCAATAGGAGGTCTGGCCACGACGTATGCATTTGCGGGTGAAAGTTTGGGTTTGACGAGAAAAAAGTTGATCAAACTCGCCCGGCTGGGTAAGTACGATTCTCCTGAACTAAATGATGTTTCTGTAAACATTTATAAATGAAGTTATTTGTTTGCAGACGCCTTTTCAATCGCAATACTGTCAAACAAAAACCGGAAATTGAATAAAACTTTAGTGAACAAGTTTGATGAATTGATTTATGCCTCCCCCTTTTGTAATGACAGCAGCATTTGATAATGTTTTATACTTATGCATTTGGTAAAGTTTTATACTTGGCCATAAGACCGATTCTGTGCCCGAGTACATTAGAATTGAAATGAAATAAGTATACAGGCTATACAGATTATATATTAAAAGCGTTCAAGATTTGAAATCTTTCATTCATCAATATGCTAGTCCTTTTACTTATTACAGAATTATAGGTTTGTCTTGACATGTTTTGCATTAAAAATATGTAATATTTATTTAATTATATGTATTAATCATATGATATTGTCATAAACAGTTGACTGGTTTAAGCACCAAGGTATTCAAATTGTGATAATTTGTTCTTTGTCTATTGAACATTGTAAACATGTTTGCATATCATGTGCATAATGCTGGTATATTTAATCTGATGTATTAAATAAAAAGATACATTTATCATAATATGTTATTAATTGCATTTCCTGCTCTGTACCATTTCAAGATGTGAAAAAGTTATGAATAAAGATACCAAAATTTAGTACTGATTTTGTCATTTGTTGAACTACTTGTGTATAAATACATGTATATAAATTAGGTCAAAAAAGGTCGAAAGTGAAAAGTTGAAGAGATAAATCTACCTAAAGCCATTTCTTAATATTTCTTACTGATGAACAATAATGTCCTGACCACTTGTTTGGTACAGTAAACTAACGGCATATTGCAATGGCTTAGTCTCAAAGGGGTTTAATGTGTTGTATTAAGCAGAAAATGAATAGCAGATTACCAAAATTGCATAAGGACACATCCGTACTCGAACCATTCCTAATTCTATATTTCTGCACTTTCCACGTTCTAGCTATTAGTGTAACCTGGGACATAAGAGGAAAAAATGTGAAAAGAAACAATTCTATGTGTTTACACTGGATGATCTTATAAGGCTTATTTCAAGAAAACATTCAAACTGCAATACATGTAACTTTGCATTGTTTAAACACGGATTTATATTACATAAGGTACAAAAACATGACACTAATTTCAAGAAAAAAATAGATACATCTATTGACGTTTATGTACAAATTCGTAAGTAAGGGAAGTAACTCCGCTTTGCAAATTGAAAATTTTATATCAATTGTCTACCTTGATTGGGATTTCCCGCTAACAGGTGACATTCTGACACACGTGTATACAAGCTTGACGTGAGTAATACATCCCATTAAAGAATAAACATGTTGATACTGAATATAAATGTGTACAGTACAGTTAATATGCAAGAATGAGGTTGTTAGTAGATCTAGACTAGCCAAACAAATTATGTTTCAAGTTGATGTCTTTTTATAACTTTGGCGACATCTGGGATATATGTCCAGGGGGTTCTATGATATCACGGTACTTAACGTTTATCGGAAAATATTTAAATATAAATATCATAAATGAATGAGATTTTTCTTCAATCTTATAACTGAACCTTTTCCAAAACTGTTTGTCAAAAAATTATTTAAAAAGAACCAATAAAAATGATATTTTTTTGAATATTTTCAATGTCTGCCATTTTGGGTAATTTCAGAGGAGGTTACTACGGTATCAAGGTAATCCCCAAAAAAGCAAGTATGGAAGGATTGATGGGTCAAAACTTTCAAGTTAAGTTGTGAAAAACTTCCAACAGTTCACTTGCTATAAAATTAAAACTCTATGAACAGACTATATGTCAGTATATGTGTTTATAACATATTTTAATTGACCGTGTAAAAACCATTAAGGAAAATGGTAGTCAAATATGAAGGTTTTATAAAATAGTTTTCTTGCCACAAATACATTCATTATTCACCAAATTAAATTTATTGGCAGATTTAAATGAATATAGTGTGCAAGTTTTACAAATATTAGCATCATCACGTGTTGCTTTTACTTGCAGCACGGATTTAAATTGTAATTTAAATCCGTGCTTGCAGTCACAGAAAATTTTAATACCTTGATATCATAGAACCCTTGATATCATAGGAACCGAGTAATACTTGCAGTTGAAATATTGAGAATGTTTAGCAGTTTAGCCCACTGTCATGGTCTTTATAATAAAAAGCCCTAAAGTGCACAATCAGAAATTGACCACAGGCAAGTCTGTCAGCTCATTAGATCTTTAATAGATGACATAATATTATACTTGAGATTTTATTTTTAATTCTAAAGTTAAAAGTAAATAAACTATATTTGAGTCAACATTCAACAATTACACTTGTAAAAGTTTATTGTTTTAAATTTCAATATACCTGAGATATTTGCTAAGTCAAAGGAAGCACAGACACTTTTTATGAAGTTAAAGTGCTGCTTTGAATGGTGTATTAAACACAATATCAATGTTACCTCGTAAAAAGTCACAGTCATGTTGTCTGGTTATTTCAGAATTATTATTCATATGTTACAAGTACTTTGGTGAATCTCTCTGGTATCATGAATATCAAAATAAGCATCTTGTATAAAGAAATGTGGTAGAAACACAAAAGTCACAAAAGTCATCTTCCATAAGTATTGTAGCTAGGTTGTCATTCTCAGGAATGATCTTGAAAAGCAAACATTTTCCAAATATAGTAGACTCCCCCAACTTCGAGCTATGCTGTATGTGCATGCAGCCTCACATATCAACTCGAAACAAAATTTTTAATATCGTCTTTGTAAGCATGTACATATTGCAATTTTAAATGCTTTATAGAGTATACTTTAGATAATGTGTAAGAATTGTTCAATTGTTAAAGCAGTCAAGGTAATGCTAGCTTCATGATGTTCAAGCCTACAATGACTGATATATTCTTGAATTCATGTTAGAAAGTAATCCGGCTTATATATTTACTGGAAGATTGGTGGCTTTACTTTATTCAAATATATTCATCAGCACCAGTTCTCCATCTGTAAGTATACTCAAAGTAAATAAAAAGGTGGAAAAAATACCATTATTTAATAATTATACACCGCCTTTATTGGAATACAGTTAGTAAAATTTCCATGGGGTGACATAACTCCTTTTAGACTGTAAACTGATTTTATAATGTGTTTTTTGTGACAAGCAGAAAATGTTCCAGTTTTTAATTCATTTTTAAGGACTTGACTGTGTAATTGACCTATCAAACATGTAGTTTTTAAGCATGGATACGAATGAATTATATTTTTTATCTGAAAGATTTTTTCTGCATAAGCAAATTTATTTGAAACCAGAAGTAAATCTGAATTGCCTCCGCTATCACTAATGTATGAGTTAAGCTGCTTTTTTTTTGCACGATTTCCTGGACAGGCCATGGTCCTGCTACTAACTTATACTTTACATTTCAGCGCAAAACAACTTATTGCAATTTTATTTGCAGGCCAATTTTTATTCAGTAGAATTAGAGGTCATACCTTGTTAAAAGACATGCACATTATACAAATGTAATTGCTCTACAATATAGACAATAAAATTGTTTCTGATGTTTTATATATGTGTCAGAGATAAGGTTACTCATGTCAAAGATCAGGTTTACAGGGCAGGCTGTTTTTTTATATATGAGAAAGTTGTAAAACCCAGAGTGTAATTTGATGAGTTAATTATAATACATCATGAGAAAGTGAAAGAATAATTAGAGTTTATCAGAGAATAAGATAGTGAGGTAGGTACTGTTAGGTTTCCATCTGTCAGCCACTATCAGGGTGGGGTATATTACTTCTGACAAACTTAAGAGAATTAACTATTGTTACTTAAAATTCTTCGCTTCCAGTATTTTCTCCTGAGAAAAAAAAGTCAAAGGAAAAAGCAACAAATATTGTTTAATAACTTAAAGAATTTTGAAAAAAAGAAATATGGAAACCATAATCTGACCAGACAAAATGTAAAAAAAAAAATGGAACATCATGTGAGATTTGAAACCCATTTCCCAGGTAAACTCTGCTATGAAAACTCTTTAGAAAGACTTTTTTTTTTTAAAGTAGCATGACTTATTATTGATAAAACATTCTTGATAGTGATACATAAATTATGTATTTAATTAAATTTTAATCAAAATTCATCATTATGTTAGTTACATTATTTCATCTGTTTTAAAGCAGCAATGCCTCCAGATTCATGTTAATTTTCATGAAAATTTTGGAAATGTAGTCAAAAGTAAAATACATATATTGTGAGGTGAACAAATAAAGAAATCTATATATTGCAATCGGCACTTACTATCCACAAAAATCACCAAAAAAAGGTCAACATATGCAAAAACAGCCCTTACTGCATTAGTAACGTAGACAGTATTAGTAACGCAGACTGCATTAGTAACACAGTAGAAATATGGTGATAAAATACTGAAAAAATCAGTCAAAAACCGCACATTTCATTTTAAATGTAACTTGAATCTTTAATGTTTTTACCTTTCTTAAAATTTTAGTACATTTTTCTAAATATTGATTTTCTTGAAATATTTTGGCTCATCGAGAGGCGTGCAGCTTTAAAGCAAGCTATAATTGATGTTGCTCAGACTGAAATACAATTAATGTTCTTGATACTGAAATGGGACAAAAGTTCCTGTATATTTTTTTTTTACTTCATTGGTTTTGCCATGTTAGAGATAACATAAGGTTAACCTCTTTTATGTTACATGTACTAAATCTAATTTGATTGTGATGAATGTTTATATTTGAACCACTCCTAGAAGTAACCAGTACTGTTTTTGACATGTTTAGTCCTTCATCAACCATTAAATGCTGGAAATTCATCATATGACATTAAAACAAGGCTCCCTGTATCTTCTCCCATTTTAATAGCCTCAACTTGGCAAGGAATTTTTATTGACCTTTCTGGCACTGGTATTTAGGAAAAATGGTGACATTTGATCAGTCGTCACCAGGGTGACATTCCTCTTGCTGAGTCTTTCAGTCTTGATTTGGAACATGGGAGTAATAAAAGTTTCCCAGTGACTGCATAATTGATTTTAGTGAAATAGCAGCATTATTGGTGCATGATTATTATTAATTTTAGAGTTCCTTATCTTGTTATCATTTTTGTTTAATGAGTCATTTTAAATTCACTCAGTTTGAATGTCATTTAATTTTTGAACTTTTACCAGTGTGACATTATTCATGCATGAAAACATCTGAGTTAAAAGGCAAGTTGGGAATACAACTTCAAAGATTGTTTTATTTAGTTAATACATTAATTTTATCTCTTGAACAACAGGGGTTTTTAATGTAAAATAAAATTGACATATTATTTAAGTTTGATTGTGAAATAAGTTGTACCAACTATTATGTATTAATAATTTCTGCCTCTTGAATATATAACCAGTGCTGTTGTCTCTTGGCAACATGGTTCTGACTTAAGTAGGATATGAGTTAGATCCCTGAGAATACATCTTAACTGCGGTGCCACAGCTTCCCTTTAAGACAATTTTGATTGCAATGCTCCTGGAGAATGTCATAAGGCAGGAAATGCTCAGGAAAAAATTATAAAAGTTGTATAGTAATCTTAAGAACATTCATCAAGTTTGGCTTATTTAATTTCACCTTGTTGTTTTCATTTTCATCTTCTTCATT